GTGAGGACACAACGTCTTTGTAACGTTTTCTACACTTACAAATATCTTTCACATTTAAAACACGTTACGACAACGTCAAATTTTACCGTTTATATTACGTAGCAAATGAAACAATTTGGTGAGAACTGCAACGTCTTTGTAATGTTTCCTGCACTTACAAATATTTTACACATTTAAAAAACGTTACGACAACGTTAAATTTTACCGTTTATATTACGTAGCAAATGAAACAATTTGGTGAGAAGTGCAACGTCTTTGTAACGTTTTTTACACTTACAAATATCTTTCACGTTTAAAACACGTTACGACAACGTCAAATTTTACCGTCTACATTACGTAGCAAATGTACCAAATTTGGTGAGAACACAACGTCTTTGTAACGTTTTCTACACTTACAAATATCTTTCACATTTAAAACACGTTACGACAACGTCAAATTTTACCGTTTATATTACGTAGCAAATGAAACAATTTGGTGAGAAGTGCAACGTCTTTGTAACGTTCTCTACACTTACAAATATCTTTCACGTTTAAAACACGTTACGACAACGTCAAATTTTACCGTTTACATTACGTAGCAAATGTACCAAATTTGGTGAGAACACAACGTCTTTGTAACGTTTTCTACACTTACAAATATCTTTCACATTTAAAACACGTTACGACAACGTCAAATTTTACCGTTTATATTACGTAGCAAATGAAACAATTTGGTGAGAACTGCAACGTCTTTGTAATGTTTCCTGCACTTACAAATATTTTACACATTTAAAAAACGTTACGACAACGTTAAATTTTACCGTTTATATTACGTTGCAAATGAACCAAACTGGTAAAAATTCAACGTCATTGTTACGTTTTTCACACCAGCACAAATTTCGAACTTTACTAACACATTACTACAACGTCATTTTTTAACCATCCACCGACGTTTTGCTGAATGTCACAATTTTACGTTGCTTTGACGTTTATATAACGGAAATATACAACGTCTCCAGTGAACTTATATACCACATATGAGTGACGTTACATGGACGTCACTGTTTGCTGGGTAACACCCGATACAAAGGTAAAGGCCGTCAGCTATTTAATTATACAGGTCACAATCTTAGACCTCACTCATTAATCAAAATCGGTCTAATCGCGCACGTTTAATCGCAGGGTTTACGGGGTCTCATACAGGGTGACCCAAAAAATGCAACCCCCCATTTCTTCTATATTTTTCTTAAATGGAGGTAAATTGCTCTGAGATTTGGCACACAAGAATTTCATTCAATGTGGAATCCTCTGGCAAAGTTTTAATAGTCATAGTCTTATATTGATAGAGTTATGGTTGTTTCAAAATATGGAGGATAATAAATAGGAGAGATAATCCTCTCATAGAAATGACCAGTGAGCCAGGCTATGCTATATTTTTGTGAGGGGAGTAGCTCCATCATTCTAGAACCACTGTTCTTGTCTATTGAAGCCTCTATGTCACTCTAGAACTGCCTAGAACTTCCTGGGAACGTCAATATTGCGCTGAGTGTTAACAGTAACAGTGTTGCCATTATCAACCTAAAACCAGAAGGGGCTGATGATTTCATGCTTGGAAATTGGCAGCCCAAGCTGTGCATTTAACAGAATGAATGGGCCTTTGAAGCACTTCATCTGGAATTTGTGATCCCAGAACACATTATTTCTTGAGTTTACATGTTCAGAAAGAAGGGAATGTGATTCATCCGAAAACCTAACATTGGAAATGGACGACATTTGGAGCATATTTTGGAACGACCATACCTCTATCAATATAAGACTATGATTATTGAAACTTTGCCAGAGGATCCCACATTGAATAATGTCCTTGTGTGCCAAATCTCAGAGCAATTACCCTCCATTTAAGAAAAATATTGAAGAAATGGAGAGTTGCATTTTGGGTCACCCTGTAGTTCAATTACAAATGCGCATGCTGCAATTTGCAACACTCAGCACATTCGTATTCATCTATTGTACGGTTATATTAATTTGGCATATTCACTTCTATGGTGTTGTAGCTACGAAGGTCAAACCACTTAACATCCACTGATTACTTTTTGACTGGGAAACGTTTGAAGCTACTATTTAATGATTTTTTATTGTTCACCTCGTACTGTATGACTTGTATTGTTATGCCGCTTTTGTATGGATATGCTCAATCAGAAAGCTTCAAAGAAAACTCGTTAAAAGTGTCGGAACGACCTTGCCTCTTGTAATTTGGGAGATTAATGTACCATTCGTGAATTCAATCGACGACTGACGGTTCAACCTACATTTTATGGCCTACATTTTTTAACTCATTTAAATATTAATGGAATAGTGGCGTATTTAAATGAGTTGATTATAAAATAGCAGGTTAATCCGTCAGCCGGCAGATGAATAGCGAATGCTCCCTTAATTCCGAGATTTTAACAGAATTTGAACATGAACATGACATTACGATAACTTTAAGGGATCAATATCAATCTTTCAATTGTTTTTTTCGATTCAGTTCTGCGTGAGCGCAAATTGGAGCACTGCTCGGTCTGATCTACAGAGTACCATTATTCTACACGCTCACGCACAATTTTCTCTTAACGTGTGTAGCTATACCGACCTATTTGATTCTTTCGCGAAATAACGTTATTACGCAAACAATCGGGTCGGGTAACACAATTGTATAACTATAAAATAGTTTTACCCAAAAATTTGAAAGGAGAATTCATCGTCATTGCATTGTAATTAGTATCGTGCAATTTTTTGCATTTTATTTCAAGTTTACAAACAGATGATTTATTGAAACGCGAGCATTTTTATCAATCAAACGAGAATAAAGAGAACAATGATTGGGAGTAAATGAAAAGCGCTCAAATATATAGGGCGCATCATCTCCTATTAAATGTTCGTCGTACTACCTCTATATTAGTGTTTTGTCCCAAAAAGCCGTTGTTTCGAGTAATTTTTGAGTAGTTTCGAGCGGTTACGTAGGGCCCGGATCAGGAGATAATTCGAAAAATAGTAGGTAAATGGGAGGCGTAAAGGTGGTTCACACCATTTTGATGTTGTTGACATCACCTTGATTTTAAAGCTAATTTATCAGAATATATATAATTTGGAAGTTTCCATACACATTTCAATGGGTCAAATGCAATGTAAGATGAAATAGTGGTATTAGTGTATTAGAAAATGTCTCGTTAGGGGCAACAATATGAATACACTTGTAACGCATGTGCTATTAGATGCCCCAGTTACATTTGATCTGCGGCAACCTTGCGGAAACTGAAGCTTCCCAAAGTCGAGGGAAATATATGCAGTATTAAATATAGGGATAAGCAGTACGATGTCGATTTTCTATATTGATTTTGTGAAGCTAGCTACGTATCCAGTTTTTTACAGGCCACAGGGTCGCCGTAAAAATTATAACTCGGAGTTATAATATTTGTTCATCTTTGAGGTCCCCATAGAAATTAACTGGCTCAACAAGATTGAATCATTATTTGTCAATGTTTCACGATCACTTTTCATTTGATATTACATCCTAGCACTATAATTAACATTTATAAATTGTCCCGATGTAAATAAAATGAAAAAAGTATTATTTATCAACAGAAATTTAAAATTCATCGTGCGGCTGCTGTGGGAAATGTGACTGCAAAAGTATGAGAGCGCAGAAATTCCACGGCGAGCGAAGAAATGTTACTGGCCGCAGAAATGATAGACCGCAAGGTCGCCGTAGAAAATGTGACTGGGGTTTTAAATCGGTGAATTTCTGCGGCGAGCGTAGAAAAACTACGCTCGCCTTGGAGGCCTTGCGGCCTCCGTACGGCGTATGCAGATTTTTAGAGGCCGCAGGGAAGGCGTAGAAATTATAACTCGGAGTTATAATATTTGTTCATTTCTGAGGTCCCCGTAGAAATCAACTGGCTCAACAAGATTGAATCATTATTTGTCAATGTTTCACGATCACTTTTCATTTAATATTACTACCTACCACTTTGAATAACATTTATAAATTGTCCTGATGTGAATAAAATTAAAAAAACTATTATTTATCAATATAAATTTAAAATTCACCGTGCGGCTGCCGTGGGAAATGTGACTGCAAAAGTAAGAGAGCGCAGAAATTCTGCGGCGAGCGTAGAAAAGCTGTGGCCGCAGAAATGATAGACCGCACGGTCGCCGTAGGAAATGTGACTGGGGTGTTACCGAAAAGCAAATATTTTACGACTATAAACGATGGGCTTAGATAATCGAGTGGGCGATCCCTCGATTAAGTAACCAGGGTGTTAACACAAAGCCCCCAAGATGGCACTCGGTTCACCAGATAACGTCCTAGTTGCTGTCAAAGTGATGGAATTCTTACTCGATTATTGGAGCTGTTTGATAGATTTGCTTGTGATTGGCGAGCTTTTCAGTAACCGCCCGGATGTTACTATCAACATACGGGTACAATATTTGGATAAACATTGACCTCCTTGTTGGTGAAAATGATGAGAATAAAATTTCCTCCGACGGAAGTTATGCATTTTTTTAGAAAGACGCAACGTCTTCGTAACCAGGTAGGACAAGTGAGAAGGGGAAGATACATAAACAGTGCATATTGAACAGTCAAGCAATTCATTCCGTTTCCGCTTGATATTTGTTACTCTGCCAGACATATGTAGAATGAACATATATCAAACTCAGTCGAGTTAGATCTGTGCGTATGATATAATCCCAGGCGCACTAGGCACTTGCATTTTACAAAAGTGCATGAATATTTACAATAATATACCAAAATACAGAAAATCATGCCACATTTCACAGGCCTTCCCATTTTGTATTTTCGTATTAATTCACGTACATTTAGACTCTGACATCATATCTTAAGGCTACGCTATCAACCATTAGTTACTCTTATTTCGTTGGTTAATCGAAATGGGTCAGAAATATCAAAACTTCAGACTATGACATCATACATTTAGACAATGACATCAAACATTGGTCACTGTTCTTAAGTTGGTATATCAAAATGGGTCACCATTTATCATACAATTGGATTATGACATCATACATTTAGACAATGACATCACACGTTTATACTTTGACATCACACATGAGCCACTCCAGTTTCGTAAAAGCAAAACTTTAAAATGTGTGATTATTATAATACTACGAAGCAATATTGTACAATTTATGTAAATAAATTTCAACTGTTTTATGAACAAAAATATGTATTAAAAAGTCACATTTGATAGATGCAAGTTTTGATGCAATGTTTGTAAAATAGATGCAACTCTTCACGCTTGAATTTTTCCTATCCAGCCTCAAGCTCTTCCATTCTTCAAATTTTCTTTCTTCCTATCCCGCATTGGCCTCGACCCATCCTACATTTGATTAAACACATGGCTTGCGATTTACAGCAACTGTAACAATTACTCGAAGGTCCTCGTTTTGAAACGAAATCTTCATATGTCTTACTCAGTCTTTTGGCAAGTGCGTCTACGTTGACATCTTTCTGTTGGGCTGGATGTAACGTGTATGGCCTGAAATGTAAAACGAAATAATATGTGAATATTCTAAGTTCAGTTGTTTCTGTCATAACTTTTTAATTTACTCTGAGTGTGAATCGGCTAATTAATCGTTTTTTTAATTTTAGAAAATTGTTTTTGTTTTTAAATTGTAATCATAACAACAGCGCGGGGCTGATCTTGGAAACTACAAGGAACGGAATTCGCTTTGGTTCGCAACGCGCTCAGAATAAAAAGGTTGATTTTTTATATTATTCGTCAATAACCAACCTGAATAACGTGCCGATAGGACTCATATATGACGTCGCTTGATTTTATAGTCACTGTCAATACTGTTTTGATAGATACTGTATTAATACAAACATGTATGTGATGTTATATCCACCGTTTTTATGATCCCTATACTATAATTAGATGATCTATGATCTGAGATGAAAGACCCTAAAGCGCCAATACCCATGCTGTTATGTACGGTCATTTTCGGATACAGAATCTATCCCTCGGGAGATACACATATTCCCTCTGGGATAACCCTTATCCAAAACTTCTCAGTACTATAACCCTTATGTATATCCTGGCTTATTGGCATAAGTAGAGGTATGAATATTATGTAGTCTATCATATTGTCTATGCTCTTGAATATACTGAGAGTTCATGCACTGGTAAACATGTGAACACCATTCCGATGGATATCACGGTCCCCAATTAGACACCTACACAATTCAATGCCAACGATGACCAAACACTTCCGATAGGTAAGTGTGTATAGCATGTTGTTTCGATAGAAAAGTACACACATATATAATTCAAATATACCATCAACTAGAAGAAAATGTTAGTCTTTATTCGTTGGTTTTTAGCGTTCGGCGGCTAGTATTCGACGTTCGGCGTCTGTAACAAATGGTAGGGTCGCAAAGCCTCCATGAAGAACTGTTAACCCTTTCCCGACGTGAATATAAAAGAAAAATGTTGGCCCTGGTGACGGATAAGTAAGAACGGTTTTTAGGGGAAAACTGCAAATAACCTATGCCCCAGGACCTATACCTTGAAATTTATCACTAAAATAAAATTTTGTAGTAAGGATTATCACATTAGAACAACTTGTCAAGAATTGATGTAAAAATACTGAATAGAACTGGAGATATTGTCATTTCATTGATGTATATGAATAAAAATAATGGTGCCAAAAGGAGCCTATCGTCCTGAAAGGTATTACATAATAGGGCTCCATATGGAGCCTATCGTCGTGAAAGGGTTAACTACCAAAAACTACCCGAAACTGTTCATAAATATATACCAAATAAATGTTTCTATATGTTCTGAAAAGTGATAAAGTGATTAACCTCTTGACTACCCAGAATGTCGAGATTTTTCGTCACCTCAGAAATGACCTTGAAACCCAGAGGGACGAGAAAATCCGTCACAAAATTGTTCTCAAAAATTGCTCTTATTTGAACAATTTTCATCCAATTTACACAAAAATTGTTTTAAAACGTCTAGAAATGATATCTGCCATCTAATTTTACTAAGTTGAGCATCTTAAGTTGTAAAGGTATGTAGTAAAATGTCAAAAGGTGACAAAAAATGAAAAATTATCTGGTTTCAACCAATTTTAGAGCCTGGGATTCAAGAGGTTAATTCAAAGAAATCCTAGAAGAAATAGTACAGGTAACAGGTGACTTATTTGTATCTCAGAGATCGGGGTCCATGCCATTCTGATACTCATCACATCGTTCTGTCTTCAACTAGCAATACTAGTGTGAAGCTAAGAGGGGGAGAAACCCCAGGGTTCAAAGATGACATACGCTTATAATGTAAATCTGTATTGAGATGACATCGTCGCTGATTGGTTTAGCGAGTCGATCATTGATTGGTTTAAAACTAGGTCAATTTGAAAACTTTGAAAACCAAGATGGAGGGTACCTTTTCGACAAAAGGAGGTGTGCGAAGGAGGAAATCGTATGTCATCAATTGAATCATGGGGTTTTCCCTCCTCTTTGTGAAGCTAATAGAAGGCCATGATTTCTCATGATGGGTCCATGTATAGTTTGGAAGAGGTTGATCCGTTCATTGATTTTAGACGTTTCATTATTTATAAGGCCGACCTTATCATCGATACTATTACTCAAGAACAGCCTGTGTGTCTCATCGACACATATTTACGCTGCTCTCCAAACGTTTTGGAACCGGAAGTTAAATTTTGTCTCACTAATCAAAGTCCGTTTATTTTTGTAACTATTGTATTTAAGAAACACACCTAAGATCCAATCATTGTCAGACTTTGATATGCCTATTCAAAGCTCCCCATGACTTATGAAGGGGAGTGTCGGTGACGTTGATTCGTCGATTGTAGCATCACACACGCAGGTGATTTTCCACAAAATGAGGAAGTGCAATGACTAATGCCATAATTGTCCTATCTAATGTACACTCCCTTCTGAAATCGCTTGGCATTTTAAGTTACCTTTTGGATCACATGTCTAAGCATTTTAATATTTGATGATTCTAAATTAGCATCGGATCGCGGAGTGATAAATGTCCGATCGAATTTAATGAGATTTAACGATCTTATCGGTTAATAGCACTTGTACTATTGTTAATTGTACAAAACATATCCACATTTAAATAAATATTGATATGCCATGATGATATGATATATGATATGATATTATACAATTATTTCAATCTAAAAATTCAGGCAATCCAAAGGGAAGGAGTCGGGCCTACAAAATATTCGAGGGTAAAAGAATAATACACTCAATTCATAGCACTTAATGTAAAGCCATAAACTACGTTCCATTGGAAATTTGCATGTAACAGTGAAATATATATATTTCGCATGTACAATTTTCAACCAAATTGTTTAACCCAAAGTCTCACAGTAAAGTACAAAAATAGAAAAGGCATTGACTCCCTAGTCATTGGAATAATAATATCCGCCTATATATTCATTTTTTTAAGGTTTTAATTTTCTAATCTAACATCTCTATTACATAAATTGCAATGCAATGTCTGTCTTGGGTCTCTAATACATAAATTGCAATGCGATGTCTGTCTTGGGTCTCTGACACATAAATTGCAATGCGATGTCTGTATTAGGTCTCTAGCACATGTATTGCAATGCGATGCCTGTCTCGGGTCTCTAATGCATGAATTGGAATGCGATGTCTGTCTTGGGTCTCTAATACATGGATTGGAATGCGATGTCTGTCTTGGGTCTCTAATACATGAATTGGAATGCAGTGTCTGTCTTGGGTCTCTAATACATGAATTAAAATGCGATGTCTGTCTTGGGTCTCTAATACATAGATTGGAATGCGATGTTTGTCTTGGGTCTCTAATACATGAATTGGAATGCGATGTTTGTCTTGGGTCTCTAATACATGAATTGGAATGCGATGTTTGTCTTGGGTCTCTAATACATGAATTAAAATGCGGTGTCTGTCTCGGGTCTCTAATACATGAATTGCAGTGCAATGTCTGTATTAGGTCTCTAGCACATGTATTGCAATGCGATGCCTGTCTCGGGTCTCTAATACATGAATTGGAATGCGATGTCCGTCTTGGGTCTCTAATAAATTAATTGGAATGCGATGTCAGTCTTTGGTCTCTTATACATGTATTGCAATGCGATGTCTTTATTGGATCTCTATAACATGTACAATGTATTGCAATGCGATGTCTGTCTTGGGTCTCTAATACATAAATTGGAATACAATGTCTGTCTTGGGTCTCTGATACATGAATTTGATGCGATGTCTGTCTTGGGTCTCTAATGTATTAATTGGAATGCGATGTCTGTCTTGGGTCTCTCATACATGAATTGGAATGCGATGTCTGTCTCGGGTCTCTGATACATGAATTGCAGTTGAATGTCTGTTCTAGGTCTCTAGCACATGTATTGCAATGCGATGCCTGTCTCGGGTCTCTAATACATGAATTGGAATGCGATGTCCGTCTTGAGTCTCTAATAAATTAATTGGAATGCGATGTCAGTCTTTGGTCTCTTATACATGTATTGCAATGCGATGTCTTTATTGGATCTCTATAACATGTATAATGTATTGCAATGCGATGTCTGTCTTGGGTCTCTAATACATAAATTGGAATACAATGTCTGTCTTGGGTCTCTGATACATGAATTTGATGCGATGTCTGTCTTGGGTCTCTAATGTATTAATTGCAATGCGATGCCTGTCTCGGGTCTTTAATACATGAATTGGAATGCGATGTCTGTCTTGGGTCTCTGATACATGAATTGAAATGCGATGTCCGTCTTGGGTCTCTGATACATGAATTGGAATGCGATGTCCGTCTTGGGTCTCTAATAAATAAAGGACGATTCTCGGTTTGGAGAACGAAGTTCATCAATCTAGATGAGCATTATCCCTGCTTCTGACAAATTTGATTTTTTTTACATAATATAGATTTGAATGTCTTCTTTTGAATAATCATAATTTAATTTGGGTAATATTTCTAGATTTTTCTCAAAAAAATATTAGCGCAGTACACTGATGAACTTCTTTCCCCAAATAGAGACTTGTATTTTATTAAAATCGGTATAATTGAGCGTTATCCCTGCTCCAGACCAATTTGATATTTTTACATCTTGTAGATTTAAATGTCCTCTTTTGAATATTCATAGTTTAATTTGGGTAATATTTCTATATTTTTCATGAAAAAAATATTAGCCCAGGAGACTGTTCTCCAAACCGAGAATCGTCCTTTGGAATGCGATGTCAGTCTTGGGTCTCTTATACATGTATTGCAATGCGATGTCTTTCTTGGGTCACTATTACATGTATTGTAATGCGATACCTTTCTTACTCCTTTGTTCCATGCATTGCCATTTAACACCTGTTTATTCTTTCTATAACATGTACTGCAATGCAATGAAGGTCTAACGTCTCTATTACATGTATTGCAATCAAATACCTGTTTATTCTCACAATTTCGTATACTTTTACCTGTCTCTACTTTGGAGTCTGTCGAGGAGCCGCTGCAAGACTTGCCTCGTTGTGGGTAGCGTTGGGATGTCGTTATTACTGTAGTCATAGTAATTATTCGTATCCTTCTCGTTGCTATAGTAATCTATAGCTTTGGCGTCTTCAAGAAAGCTTTGCCCACTCGATTCTAAAAGAGAAAATAAAATATTTTAAAGGCATATTTTAAAAAGGAAAAATATCGCTTAATTGTAGAGCCCAAATAGTATTATCATCCTTTATAATTCAAAATAGGTTTAATGTGGATTATAATATAAGATTTAAAATCTTTATAATGACGCGTTTTGAAGCCGAAAAGGCAGTCGTTTAGTCTCGTTGGTTTAAATACTGTTTTAGTCTTTGATATTTTCAGAAATTGAAAGTTATATCAAAATTGATTAATTTGTTAAATGTCATAAGGAATAAAACATGGGATTAGAAACACAGCTTCTGGTATTTTATAAATTAAGTAATGATAGAAATTAAACGAAAACAAAAGGGACCATTCTCAATCATGCAACCAAATTTGCATCAATCAGATAAACCGAAGTGCGAATCACGTACATAGTTCAAGCAATCGTCACTGTAAACAATTAATTTTTCGCTGATACATTGGATTAGCGAACGGTCATCTATTGTTCCAATATATACGGTACTTTTGCTGTATATGTATTATACCCGGGTGACATGCAGAACAATTCATCAATTATTTATGTAAACGGAATATAAGTGCTTTTAAATAAACAAGAGCCTCTCCAGTGGGACCATCGTTTTTACGCATTGTTCCTATGGTACGTCAAAGAATCCAGAAATATTATATTTCCAATTATAAAATATGTATGAAGTGAAGAGTGTCTACGAAGTGCAAATAGATATATTTAAATAATAGATTACCAGCAATTGATAGGACTTAAATTTTGTGTATTGGTCGATTCTTCAAAAGTTTGAACTCAACCATCGTTGGTAAAGTGAATAAAGTTCAATACTACTATACTATATCGTACTGTATGTAAACAGTTTAAAAACGTGTGGTTTTGTTCTAAAAACGCCATAGTTGGCTTCTAGGGTACCTAGTGTGCCACTATTTGGTATCAAAATAAAGAAGAGGGGTTCAACTTTCATTTGAATCACGAAAATAGCGATGTATGTCAAAATAGTTCCGAGGTGATCCTGTTTACTACGCGTTTGCCCGTCATCTCAGAATTCAGGAAATGGTAGCAAACGCGAGTTACAATAAATGGACGCTGATATCTCAAAAAGTAACCTGACTCCCTATAATTTTATGTAGATCAATCGAACCCCTATATGAACAGGTGCATTTTGATATGTAACACTATGGGGGAAAGCGTTTTATAGTTGATCACGAACGCCATATGTGCAAAGTATTGTTCTGAATTTTCGAATTTGGTGTTGGATTACGGTACTCAAACCTTAAATAGTGACTGCCATCGAGGGCAATAGTGTAAATTATTCCCCGAGGGAATATCCTCTAAATTAAGAGATGTTCCTTAAATATTTTTTGTATGTCAAAATTTTCCTGTGGTTTTCAAATATGTGATCGATTTTTGATAATACTGAAAATTCCCAAAGTTATCTAAGAAAAAGTGACACTTTTACAATTCTGTCCTTGCAATTATATTGTTATTTCACATCAAGATGAAGAAAAATGTATTGAACATGTTTACATAAATTACAACATCATATCGAGGTGTGGTATTTAGACACCAGAGGGTGGAAATTCAAACAAATAAAGGCTGCAGTAAGAGAGGTAATTTTGAGGTCATCTCTGAACTCTGGGAGGTTTCTCTCCAATTTTTCTCGACCAATTTGGTGTAGGCCTACACAATACGGCGCATCAATACAAAGTAAAAAATCCCCGTTTGGCCAGTTTTATTTTACAAAGCAGCTGATTGAGTGTGATTACTAATCGTTTGACATGTTTTACGAAATATACCAGAGGGGTAGTTTTTGATATGTTTGCTTAACGTATCACATAGCGATGTTGAGTATATCAAATGTATATGTTGATATCATTAACGGCGGATGTAATGTAATTTGAATTTTTCTACAAATCCGTGCTTGTGTTTTTAACAATACTTAAATATAGAATAATCAATCCAATGCGACACAAACTAAATTAATTAGTACTTCATTCAATAGATTGGCAATTGCTCTTCCAAAGGAAATGATTTTGTTTATTTATAAATTGTTTGCCCAGGGTATAATTAAAATATCAACGCGGTAGTCCGTGGGGCTATAACATTAAACACCGGTCGGGCGTAAATAGGGACGGATCCGGCTATAGTAATAAGTGAAAAAATATTTTTTTGTTTATAATTTAAGTAACCCTACTATCACACCAAACTAGTTCTCACTACGTTCTCGAAAACGGGCTTAAACGGATTTGACGTACTAAGAACCCACTAAGAACCGTTTGGGATCTGTTTACAAACTTCATGAAACTACTTGAACAAGTAGGTCCTCCAGAACTTAGAGCATGCTCAAAATTTTCTGTTGATCAAAAAACGTTGCCGAATCGGTTTTAAACTGTGTGCGAACTGAATGAACGTACCTACAACGTTCTATGGTCAGCTGTTTTAGAACTTCATGGACTTTCCCGGACGGGGAATGTGATTTAGAATTTTGAATCGATTCAAAATTCGATGGCGACCATACCGTTCTGTAATCAGGTCATGATGACCTTCTAGACTAAGGGACGCGTTATACGACGTTATGTTTCGCGGTATATGGCATACATTCATGGTTGCGCGGTATATGTGATACGGGTGAATATGCCATACTCACCTGCGGTATATGGCATATTCCGCAGGTGAGTATGCGATATTCCGCAGTGAATATGCGATACATTGATTTCAGTGAATACCCGATACTCATCTGCGGAATATGTCATACTCACTTGCGGAATATGCCATATACCGCAGGTGAATATGACATATACCGCAGGTGAAAACGTGATACAGAAAGCCTTGATTTGATTGGTTGCGAGAATCGACTCTAAATGTAAAACTACCTGGATTACCAATATTGTTAGTGCGTCGAATACTAATATATGAATCCTTGATTGGTTGAGTAGGTTTATTACGCGCGATTGGTGACTGGTACTTCTGCTAAGTTAATATATTCGATACACAGTACTGTTGATTCAGTAATCATTGTAATAATTTATAACGTTTTACTTGTTCGTTCAATCGATGATATTGACAATTGCGTACTTCCGTATCACGTTCTCATTGGTTAGTGTGTATGCCATATACCGCAGGTGAATCTGTCATACAATGCAAGTGAATATGCCATATTCGTTGCGGAATATGACATATTTTTGTATCGTGTTTACCGCGTAACACGTTACACACCGACGAAGTGCGACCTGAACGAACTGAGAATGAGATGGACGTATTGAAGACTGTTTATGAACGAAGTAGCTAATTATTTTAGACGTATTTCCCGACCACAGCCAGATTGAGCCCGTTTTACGACGTTTTCGTAGGACTGGCAAGAACGGGTAAGAACTAGTTTGGTGTGATAGGGGGGTTAAATAGCGCAGTGTGACATTTGATTGTTTTGGGGACGTCATTATACGTAAATTCATTTATATTATTTAATATATTATTTGGTGCATTGTTACCCATCTACTATTATATAAATGATAGAACAACTAACATCGACAATAGGTACTCTCTCTTTATTCCAAACTAACATATACCATCAACTAAATATATTAGAACTATATATACCCGTATTCTGCTTAGGACACATTTGCTCCGATTTTCACTACGGCGCCCGGCTGATCGATTGAATATTTTGTTCAAAATTGAACAAAACATTTAATCGGCCGGGCGCCGGCCGAAGGATAGGAGCAAATGTGACACAGGCATAACTGAACTATAATACCAGCCAAAAAAGCCTACAAAAATGATATAAAAGTAACATACAAGAACGATAAGAAATTTATATTTACCTGCGGGAAGTCCCAATGTGGTCATACTAATTGTGAGAAGAAGCGTATAACACCTTTTCATTTCTGTATTTGTTACTGTTCGAGAATGTTCGTACTTCAAATATGAAAGAAGGCCCTCTTTTTCGCTGATTTGTACTCCAAACGATGAATATTGAATTTACTCACTGATATCATAAAACGGTACTCCTTGTATTAATAGTCTTTCGCGTAATTGTTTCATGTATTACCTTAAGTACTATTCTAGGGTACAAACAGTTGATTTTACGATACCCCGAAACTATAGTTATGACTGTTTTGTGTATTTTCCGTAGTGACTAACTAGTATTCTTACAATTAGCGTAATTTGAACATGAGTTTTAATAGTCTTTTATCCCGATTGTTCCCTTAATATAATTATATTGTTATAACATCTATTTGTTGATGCCGCAATTTGTAAGCTATGAAAACCATCGCCTTTGTTTACCAATGGTTCCCTAGTGAGTCTACGCTACAATCTCTAAACATAAAGGATCCATCGGCCTAAATTAATTGGTAAGCTTTTATCGGATCATCCGCGTTTTTTATATAATTTCTATTTGAATATACCGAACTTTCCAAATACGCCTTTGCACGATGTCCTCGGTTTACAAGACATTCAATGAATCTTATTTCCTGGCGTTTATATAACTGATATCATTTTGAAATTCTGTGGGGACGAACCTTTGTACATCATGTGTATCTCATATGAGTTCGGAGGCGTTTAATAACTAATGGCGTATTGTCAAAATAAGGGAATGTATAGATCTATCGGAAACACGGAACATCGGGGGCAGATCCTTTGGTTTATAGGTGGGAACTCAGGGGTACAGAATAGTGTAAAAAGAATTGTGTATATACGGCTATGTGGGTTCCATCCAGTTCCTACGCCTTACATGACATAATAGGCTTTTATGGATAGAGAAATTGGTATTCCGCGCTTACCAAATACGACGAAATAGCATAAAACATGTAAAAACATAATAATAAACACATATTGTCGCAATACGCGAAGATAATGATAACGTTAAATAAAACGATGTTGATTTTGGAAGACCTTATTTTCAAGAATCAATCATATACGATAGATTATCCTTAATACGATAAATTACGCAAACAAAACTTAAAACAAAGGCAACAAAAGGCGCATTCCTCTATCTTGAATATGAAAACGATAAAATGATATGCTAAATAAACAGCTAAATCATATGGCTAAATACGGAATCTGAAAATAAAGAACGCTGCGGCGAAAGGTATATTTCTGAATGTGGAAACCAAAAAGTAATATTAGCAACATTTCAAACAAGCCATATTTTTAAGAAAAAAAAACTAAATTAATATCCAAGAAATTTTGCAAAATTTGGTTTAAACAAATATTTCCTGATATAAGCCAACCTCCCCATCCGAGCTAAAATGATCCGCCCTAAATTGTTCCATTCGTAATTCCCCCGCACTACATGCATTGATGACGTCATTTTTCTCATTCTGACGTTTCCGTTTGCTTTAATGTCTATGGCTTATAATTTATTCATCTTATTTATGCTTATATAATTGGTATCGGTAACTGTTACTTCAATGTTTTCCTCCAGGTATAAGTTCTTGTATTGGGCATCATAGAGGCAAATGACCAAATAAGTGTATAAAAAGCTCTCAATTTGTCCTTTTGTAAGTTTCAGAAGTTCAGAAAATAGTTTCTATGGTTATTGATCGGCGTTTGGTTTTTTGAATGGCGATGTTAGCTGCTTTTTGTGTATAATAAAGAGTGTGTATTTGTCTGGGGTGTAGGAATTTATTAGTCACGATGGAAACATTCTGAAACCTAATGAGTATGATTCAATTCAAAATGATTCAGCCAGTGAGTATTTTTCTCTATGACTCAAACACGTTTGCGTGCCCAGATCTTGGTGAAATATCAAGCACGACGGCGTTTGCGTTATGTAGTCAAATGCGAAGTGGCAAACTGTCACATTCGAATGCCGTTCATCTACACGTATGTACACATTTCTTGTTATTTGTGTATTTTCATACGAGGAGTATTTCATATTATTTATTATCGCATCTTCATGTTAGATACATGACAAAAGCAAACAATCATTTGCAATTCGACCACTTTCCGTTATGATTAAGAAATTACCTTTATATTATTTATAGGCAAGCGCAATATTTAACTATCCCTAATGTAAAATTGATAACACTCTCGAAACGCATCATTTATCTATCGTATTGTACGCTATTCAAACGCGTATTTATACTCCGGTGATTAGTCGCAGTAGGTAGGAGTAATCGCCAAAAAATTGGATTCGTTGCTGAAAGATAAATTGTCGTAATATCGAGTTTGTAGACATATCTATACGTTTTTCTTGATGTTCGCTTAAATCGCATTTATTAATTAACGTCGTAACATAGTATGTTAAAAAAGATGCCGATAAGCTATATTAAAGCTTATCAATGACATTTTTATTTGTTTGGGGTTGGTATACATTTCGTTGAAAAACGAATTTAATGGTTTAAATCCACCTCCCCCCATCATCTATTTTAAAATGTTGATTTGTCTTTCAATTGAATATCAGATAACTCAAAACTCTTCTCTAGATAACGAATGCCATTTATCCCCTCCCTCCTCAAAATTAACTTCACTATCCCACAACTGTTGACTATTCCTACAACTGTATAATTTGACACAATCCCCCAAAATGTTACATGGATTGCTAGTGCAGATTGTTAATTATAATATTTACCTTTTGTATATGTAGCTTATTAACTAGGAGGGATTTATCCGAGAGACTAAAATGCATTGTCATATGATAAAACCTATATTCAGCCTCCTACATAAATAGTCCGTTTGTTTCATTAAAAGAGGGCATTGAGTAAACGTATAACTGCCAAATCATAAGTAATGTGTACACTGTATCTACGTTATATATACGTTAAAAGTGAATTGACAATTTGTGTGTCTTGATTCTGAAAAGAGGTATCGGTCACCTTCAAAGGCGGTAAACAAAATGTAATAACAAATATCATTTTCATATTTTACTGAATAGAACATATACGCTATGCGATCTGGCTTATTTATTGTTATCCTACACTTAGTGTACAAAATGTATAATAACATTAAAAAATAAATTTGATATTTATTGGCAAAATGACCGGAGGATATCGTGATGATATACTCCGGGCGGAGGATATCGTGTCGATGTGACAACATACTGCCAAAGTGACTCTATTTGGCATGAAATTCATTTTGCAATGACATTATACATTAAGTACACTCCTTTTAAGTGTAGGATAATAAGAACATCCAATGATTTTTTTCAGAATATCATTTTAATCTACTCGGTGATATTGATATATGCACTCGTTCGCTTTGTTCTTTCGTGCAGATATCAATATCACCTCGTAGATAAAAATGATATTCCTCAAAATCATAGGATATCCCATGATTATCAAACAAGAATACGTTACTACCTAAACGTGACTTCAAATAAAAATAACACATCTTGGTGTTTGTTTGACTGCTATTTGTTGTTGCTTTGTTTACTGCTTATTAAGGTGAGCGATACCACTTGTGTGTCTCCCGCATCATAGTCGCACTATAGGTCATGCAACCATAGGCGGTGAAACCATAACGCCCCTATATGTCAATGGCAATATCATAACATTGTATGATGCCTGAGAACGATATCATATCTGAAACGAAAATTTCAAAATTAGTATGCGTGTAAGAGGAGATAAGGGGAGAGCGGGTCAAAAATGGCCGTGTGTCAAGAGGGGACACATACATGTCAAAGTGCTTATCTGGTCACAGAACGGCCTCATGGTCGACACTCTTGTAGTGTGTGTCATAGTAAAAAATACATATGCTCGTCAGCAATCAATTAAAGTAAATACCTGTACTAGTGTTTTCCTAAAGTTTCTTCAGTTACACTTAGCTTAATGAAACGAACAATGCATAATATATTCATGGAGCGTTGTTTCCAAATAATTGCCTAATCTACCCTGCTTTTTAAGGTAGAAGAAAACTATGTGTTTTATAAATTTTATTGTAAATAGACAAATACTGTCTGCATTATACTATCTTATTCAAATGTTTATTTTGACCTTGGAACGATACCCAAGGGTAAACTTTTTTAATGTTTATATATTTTTATGGAAATTCGAGCAAAGTGCCTTTACTATACTTTTAAATGTGATAGGTACCATTTTTTAAAGTTATAAATAACGTTCTTATGTGAATCAAGCTTTTTATACATGTTTTGAGCATTTAAGTGTTTCACAAATAAAAACCATTAAACTGATATAAACATCGTACAAATAAAACGAAAGAATTTAGGCTTAGGACATTTATGATAAGAATGATCAAGTTGTACATCTCATTGATCAACTTAACCTGACTTCACTCGTCCTGATGACCAATCATACACTTTTATTCGGGGCAATACGGACAATGGAGATACTTTTCAAGTATCGGACAAACACAGCGTTGTGGACACGTTAAGTTAAACGAGACTACGTTAAACTGATTTAAAAAAGTAGTTTGTACTTTCGAGTACAACCGTTTAAAATCTACTATAGAGCTCTTTGTACTTATATATTTAAACATTGAAACTAAACTTAAAATCAATCGTAGTATGGATCTATAGAATAGTTTTGGATATTAACCTATAGTAGGTATTCGTAAAGTTGTGAGGAAATGGATTATCAGGAAAGTGGTATAAGGAGTAGGTGCAGGCGGATAGGATCTGAGCTGTGGGCTTTTAGGCAAACATTTTTCATCATATGCACTCCACTTTTACTACTCCCGCTTCCATTAGCTATCCCGACACAGGTGTGTAGTATAACGATACTCTCTTTTTTATAACGACTATAAAGGGTTAGAGAACTCTTAATGGGGGAGGGGTCTATCGAGTGCCTGTTCTCAATATATTAACCAATTTGTCTCAGGTTTAACAGGGGTGAGCGAGCGTATGCTGTCCCCTTGAATACACAAGTGACCTTTTACCATATTTCAAAAGACCCTTCTACATAGTTCAACATGTCGCTGATAAACTATCCTAGTCTGTCCAATTTTTGTGGCAGACAGCCCTATTGTGCTCGCCTACCTTACTGAGTAGAAATTAATATTTTGATTAACGGCACTTGTTAATCGTTATTATTCAGATTATCAATATTACAATTTGCAGTTAGCGAATTATGGCTACATCCTGATAGTCATCTAGTGACTGACTGAGGTACTATTAGTCTGTATGACGTCATTAGTTCATTTTAGTTTATAAATATTTATATTTCAGCAATACTATCTAAGGTGTACATTTTTTCTGATTGTTCTCTATATTGACATCATGTGATTTTCAGCCAGCTTATTGCGGCTATATCCTTTTGTTGATGGCTATCTGGTGGGTGAGTGAAGCACTACCAATCTCTGTGACGTCATTGGTTCCATTGTTTGGCCTCCCATTGCTTGGTGTCGTCCCTGCAGGCCAAGTTTGCCTTAATTATATGAAGGTCGGTTTTAAAATTCATTGCTTGAAATTGTTTTTGATAAGAATCTATTGTCGGCTATTGAGAACAAAACAATTTATTTCATGTTATTTGACATTAATAATTTACTGCGTTATGTCAACTCACTATCGGTGACATATCATTATACAAAATATATACTACAGGGTGTCAAAAAACAACAGCATCCCCCCCCCTCTACAGCAAAATGCACTTCATGTTACATAGAGTGTCATATCCCATCAGAAATACATCCTTACTGTATCCATTTTCAAGAGGGCCCCTATACATCAATTTCCATACCCTGTCTTTCACATTGAACTTATATTCTCAATGTAGTTGAGATCTGGCCTATTTCCTCTATATTTGTCATTTCCAAGATTTGACCTTAAACCAGTATAAAGTAGCAAACAAAGTACTGAAGTAACAAAAGGGATTTTTTGCTGTTGATGGGGATGCCAGTTTTTTTGACACCCTGTACAACATTTTTCTGGATTTGGTTCGGTGTTCGGGGGTCGGCGTTTGGCGTCAGTAACAAATGCACGGTAGTGACATTTTACACGTTAATGCATCGTTTTCAATTCGCAAAACTCAGACACAATTTCTTCAAATAAGGTTTCCTTATTTAGAAAATGAACTACATGAATTCGAATGGGATAAACCTCATATTTCTAGTTACAATAACGTTATGTTTATTAAAAGTCGTATCTCATTGCAGAATGCAAATGTATTGTTTCTCGGCGGTATAACAGTAGCGATAGCTATTGAAAGATGGAACCTTCACAAACGTATAGCGTTTAGGATTCTCCTTGTGTCTGGCTCGAAACCAATATGGTAAGAAACATGGCATCACCATCAACCTATAACAATGTAAATGTATCCCTTTGATTATATCAAATCCCTATATGAAACACAATATATATCATTGATACGGTATTAGCTACGAATGAGGAATTGTAATGTACACACAAAAATGAAGGGGGGGGGGGGTATTGCTAGTTCGTGCCTTGTTAAACGTTTTAAAAGCTATTTAAATTGCATTGGTGCGAAAATTTAACTGATATCCCAATACTATCTGTGAGGTTAAGCGTTTAGTGACATTCATACTTGTTTTAACTCATGCGCATACTATAAATTTATTTAGTCATTCTATATATCTATATACGTTTATCGTTTACACAATGAACACATAGAGCTCAAGGTCTTACGTTTTACTGTTACTGCCTACCAGTGTCTTATCATATATATCATAGTACGCATCTTTTCTAATACATGTTTTAAACGTTTACACCGACTTTAAATGAAAATTCAAGATGATGGCTAATCATATTTATAAAGTCTGAAACAAAAATGAAAATGGCCTCTCTGCCGAATTATAGTCCAAAAAATCTTCATACTGTGTTTATATTGTTAGTGATTTCGTTTCTATTTAGTACCCGGGTACTACTATCAAATCCGGGAATTACTATCAAAACCGGGAATTTACTATCAAACCCGGGAATTTACTAACAAACCCGGGAATTGCTATTAATACAGCATTTCTGCAGTTTACATTTTTGTCCAGTGTACTAGGTTAATGTTATTATATAGTAGTGAGTAATGATACTGACTCACAGTCTAGTGTTGATCAAGGTTCATTCTTGGTAGGGTCTGGGAAACCAGACTCTAAAGAGAACTGGGAACTGTTTCTCTGAGCTAGAGCCGTATTCGTTAAAAGTAATAACCTGAAATGTTATAATGGTCCTCTTTCGATTCGTAACTACTATACAAACTTGCCCCTAACAGATAATGTTAGTAACTCAGTTCCGCTTATGGTACCCGGCACTTCTAATCTGTAAATTGCACATGCCGTGTAATGCTTTTCGTCCAGTGTATTCTATTCCTCAGGTTCATAAATGAAGGAAAAAAACTGTAGTTCATGTTTAAGTTTATCTGAACACTACACAAAGATGGGTAATTGATAAAATCATATCTTCTTTACCTTGATGTAGAATTTCAAGTGATGATATTGCCTAATAATGACAGAAACTAACATTATTTTGTTCAAAGCATGTTTTCCAAATTTTTAACAGCCATTTTGATTTTGAACCACGTGATCGTCGTGTCTTTCGACCAATCAGCAATGATGATGACGTGTTCCAGTCATAGAAAATTTCGTTTAGTGTACGTGTATATCTGTCTCCTAGGTTGATGTTAGGGTTTATGTTAGTCACGTGGTTCCTCTCCATGTGGATCAGTAATACTGCAACAACAGCAATGATGATACCCGTTATACAAGCTGTTTTAGATCAACTTGATCCAGCGAATACACCAGATTTTCAGGACGTCCCTGAAACTCCTCAAGATGGTAAGCTTTCTCATTTCGATACTGTATGCAAACCTGAATTAATATTGATTACAAAAGAGATGTGAAAACAAGCTGTTTTAGATCAACTTGATCCAGCGAATACACCAGATATTCAAGACGTCCCTGAAACACCCCAAGGTGGTAAGCTCGGTCAAACATTCTCATTTTGTTCATATAAAGAGAATATAACTCAGGAAATAGATATTGTATGCAAACCTGAATTAATATTGAGAAACGTTTCTTGTCCATGAGGGAACCTAAATAGATCAGAAAGAAATACCGGTAGTTTGAATTATCATTGTTACACATTCAGTCAAAGTTAGACATACATCGATCACATCTAAAGATATTATGGTATTAAAATAGTTATGAACCTTTACATTCTCAAAAAATCTTAAATGAAGAAGGTTAAAATGATAAAATAAAAAACGTTCACTAGACAAACAGGTTGGAATTAACACATAATAATCAGCGATTAATTTTTTAGAATAATCATTAATAACCAGACACAGTCTGATCTTGACCTAGTTATAACTTTTTAAGGCTAGATACAATGGCAACAGGCATGGCCTTGCGATAATCACTTTTTTCTTTACTGAATAACCGACCAACTGATTATCGTGACTGATTAAACTTCAAAGGGCTAATTACAAATGACACTGCTGGAATACAATCTCTTGTCTAAATAAAATGATCAACCTGTCTGTGATAAGAAGTATAAAGGAATTTAAAATGTATCTAATATATTATACAATTAGACAGACTGGCTATTCTAATCCGTTATGAAAAGCCATTTGTTTTTTCCACTACAGGATGTTTCTACGGAAGTTAATTTGTTTATCTTAGTGTTATAGGCATTGTCCCTTGACGCTTTTATGAAATAAATGAACTTTGTGATGGACTACAATTGTATATTTTTACATTACATTATTTTCATTTTAGGTGTCTCTTATTACATGTAGTTGCATAGCAGAAGTCAAATGTTATTCTCTCCGTGTGCCGAAAGCACTTATACCCGTAGCCAAGGGGTGGGGGTGGTTCAAGGAGTGCGAGTGAACAGAATTCGAATTGAATACAAAATAGATACGTAGCATATAAATATATAAGTAAATAATGTCTAGCCAAGTCTTCTTTCATTTTCTGAACTTCAAATGCGCCTTTTGACGTGTGGTAACAAAATACAAAATAAATAGTTATGTTTGTCCAGCTTGTTTTTTATATTAATTTGGCAATAAAACATGCATAAAGAGATAACAAATTGTGCACTGTGCACAACACGAATCCCCTCCCCGATCGGGTCGCGTTTACTGTGTATGTAATAATGTACAAAAGTAATGTAATAAAGACAATAATGCCCCCCCCCCTATTGCAACATTTTGTCAATTAATAGTATTAGCTCGGAGCATCAACACACGTTTGATTGAAATAATTCAAATCAAAGTTCCAAATGAATAAAGATAATGAAGGTTCTGTTTGACATTCGAGAACAAGAATTTGTCCAGTCAAAAATAGATTTCTAATATTTGATTTTGATTAGATGTATTTATTGATCCTTGTTTTTAAAACTTCAGATGGTTCACTCAATTCTGAAGTAAACAAAAAATAATCCTATACACGATTACTTGGTTCCCATGATACTGCCTATAACCTATAATACTCATTTATCAAAACAAATATTAATTAATATGTCCGTCTGATTACATTTTGTTCCCTGACTCAAACTAAGCAAACCCCGATTACAGTTCTTAATTCTCCACTTGAAACGATTTAGCCAACATGATACAATATGAAATTTGATTAATTATACATGTATAAAACCTATTGTTATCAAAACCCATAAATGCTCACAGATATAGTTTATTGATGGCTAATAACAGATATCAGGGGCGTAGCCAGCTTTCAGTCAGGAGGGAGTGCGATTGCCAAAAATATTTCGGTTTTCATTCGGGGGGGGTGCGATTGTGACATAAACAGGGGGGTGCGATTATGACATAAACAAGCCAAAAATGATTTTTATATTGAATTTTACAAAAACTGGATGCGAGTTCCTTCCAAAGTGAGCTAGAAGCTTCAAATAAAAAGCATTTAAAAGCTCTTTGAGTCCTCTTTCTCAGGGTTTGATTTTTATTGGTTTTCGCAACCCCCCCCCCTCCCCCTCCTCCTTGGCTACGCCTATGGATATTTAGAAAGTTTCAAATAAATAACTCAGCAACCAACCACGCAAGTAACCAACCAAGCAAACGACCATCCAAGCAAGCAGGAAACTAAACAAGTAAAAAAGCAAACCATGCAACTTAGAAATAAAGCAAGCAAACAACCGACAAACCAACCAAGCAAGTAGCTAATTAAACTCTAATGCAAGAAACCAAGGAAGCAGCAAAGCAACAAAGAAAGAATTTTAGCAAGTAAACGGCCAATCAAGCAATCAATCGTGCTAATAAACAAGCAAACAAACAATCTACCATCCAAGCAACTAATTAACATAATTCAATAAAATCAAAATTTAACCTTGCGCACATTTGCTCTACGGTAATAATGAGTAATATATAACTATCATATTGATTGCATTTATTAAACACAGAAATGAAACACATTGGAGCATAGTTAAATAATTGGGGATGGGAGGGGGTAGTGAACACAAGGGATACTGAATTCTTCCTCTTAAACTTAAATTTCAGTGCTTGAATGAAGGCTTCCCTTTAACAGATTTAGGGAGTTTCACTACTAGTTTCACTGAGATTGAATTTTTTCAATTGCCTTTGTTATAACATCTTATTTCAATACACTGGATATTATGTAAAAGTATTGATGTGTATTTCTTATTCCCGACAATCGAATTTCATATCAAATATTTTAATTATAGTTTTACAGTGGTATCACAACGTTATTAATTGCTTCAATATATGCAACACATTTACAAGATTTTAGATTCGACTTTCTACACGATGATAAAATATTTTCTTGGTGATATTCTTTAATTACTACTAATTAGTATAAACTATTGATTAAATTGCAGAAATCTGCTGCGTGATAATTGTTAATGAAAAATCTCGAATCCTGGTAATTGAAGTTGGACAGCTAAATAAAATCTAACATTAAATGAAATTCTAAAAGTGTGTTTCTTTTATTTTTTGTTTGGTTGATAATGAATTATAAAAATGATGTTTGAATAAAAAATTCAATTTCGCAAAAATTCATATTATTTAGCTAGACAAAGGCTATAGTTTGTTTATTCAACCTGATAATAATTGGGTGAATAATCACTTGACATAATAATCAGTTGGAATATTTTGCCATTGGCTACACATTAATAAGAATTGATTATCGTAATAGCCAGTGAAAACACTGGTTATTGTTGATTAATAAGTCTTGATAATCAGCGATAACCACCAATAATAGTCTCGATAATAGGTTTTAACCAGATAATAATCATTTATTCACTGATTATTTGTGATTAAAATTGTTTATATTTGGTCACTTCGCCCAGTGGTTGACATTTTAAGCTTATCTAGATAGTCATCCAAATCAATTGGAAACTGATATAGCGACCCGAGACACTTTAATGTGGCTTCGGGATTGCCTACAATATCGACTGATTTGAAAACATTGTCATTTAATTGTTTTTCATATTATACTTTACAGGTGCAGTATTAATCCTCGAACCAACCTCTCCAACTCTGAGTGAGTATGTATACATTAAAGTTAAGAAACATCGGAAGTGCGATCACTTCCGCAAATGATCCGTAAATTAAACAATAAATAACTGTTTTGAGGGTATAGTTCAGGTCGAAATGCAATTCTTATTTCAGATGAAGAAAAATCTCTGTTAGGGACTACCACAGAATCTGACATTGACGACATCAGTTTTTCAAATAACAAAAGGTACTTAAGCATTGTTTTAAAACGTGTCTAGAGGTCAGACTAACACTTTTTAAACTTCGGGCTCTTCTAAGTCCAATTCATGATGCATAACTGTGGAAAATGTATTGAAACAAGAAATGTTTTTACTAAATTCTCGAATAACTCTGGTCTAATTAAGTAAATTGTTTTCTTAATGTAGAAAATCAGCACTAGACTACAAAGATCTCGAGGCCAGTATGAACAATGAAGCATTAAATGATAACAATACATACGACCTACCGTATGAAACAGAAGAAGCCACGAAGGGTGATAGAGCGGAATTTGAGGTTGGAGTTCCAGAAGAAAAATGTTTGACTCAAGAAGAAAAAGACTTCATCAACATTACAAAAGGCATGAATATATGTGTGTGCTTTGCTGCAAATATTGGTGGTGTAGCTACCTTAACGGGGACTGCTCCTAATTTGGTATTACAAGAATATGTCACAGGGTATGTGAAGTTCTTACGGCGTTCGAATCCAACAACGAGTAATTGAATATCTTAATATTATTGTAAAGACATTGATGTGGTTCTAAATTTGCCATCATAATTGCTTGGCTTGGTTTCAAATTGTTAGTTAATTAATATATTACATAACATATTTTGTTCTATTGTGATTTCTCGACCATATGACTGTTTCTCTGAAAAGAGTATCCACTTTTTACTTGCCCGAATCAGAGTGTGCATGTTATAATCACCTCGACGAATCATATATTTTTATTCTTTCAGGCTTTATAAGGCCCATGACAAAGACGACCCTATCAGTTTTACAGGATGGATGGCATTCGGCCTACCATTTGCAAGTATAGCGATAGTATTATGTTGGATATGGCTACAGTTGTTTTTCTTTGGTATTAAACAGTGAGTCCACTATTAAGCAGCCCAACTAAAAATTTAATTGATAAATATGTTAAAGTCAGAAGGGAGGGCCAAGTGAAGAAAAGTTTGACTACCGACTATGAACTTGAATCACTAGTTGTTTGAATATTTGCTAATACAAACGAGAGAATTGTCTTTAGAGGCCATTTAAAAAGCAGGAGTGTACATTGCTTTTGGCCAGCAGTGATGGTTTTTGCCTTTCTCAAATTCGTAAAACTCTCAATGAATGATAACTTAAGTCAACTACATTCTTCCAAATGTTTTTAGTTTGGATAAAAAAACACGTCGCTCTCGGAATACTGACAGAGGTCTCTTGGTTTGCTCTGTCGACTTTTTGTATACGGACAATATGATAGCCTCGGAAGAACTGCTCTGCTAGGGGTACGATGGAATTACTCTCGATATTTGTTTGCATTTTTTTTATCTAGGTCAGTATTTGGTTTTTGTTTTCGGAAGAAAGGCGTCCAAATGAATGATTCTCGGAAAGAGGAAGCAGTGAAGAGCGTTTTGAGAAAGGAGTATGAAAAACTAGGACCAATGTCGTAAGTGAAACACAGAATAACATCGTTTTACTTCATGTAAAGACTGTTTTAGTGTAACAGTGAATAGTGCCTTAGTTTTTTTGTGCATGAGATCATTAACAGAGATTTTTTTTAAATTATTCTTTCAAGTACTGGAATGTATATCTAAAATTGCTTCATTGGATTCTTTGCTATTTCCTCGATTTCAGGTTTGCAGAATGGGTAGTTCTGACTAATTTTCTCATACTGGCAGCTCTTTGGCTGACACGGGATCCAAGATTTGTTCCGGGATGGGGGACGTTGTTTAAGAAAGGGTAAGCTACGTTACGTTACTTCAACTTGGATAAAAGTGGTAAGGAGCATCATCTGAGTGTAAAAGTTTACTTGTAGGTCTAATCGACCGTACATTTTGTTCCATATCTCAATTATGAATTAATAAACTGGCGTGTTACGTTTTAGTTTCGTCACAGATTCAACAGTTTCTATCCTTATCTGTGTTCTGCTGTTTATTTGTCCATCCAGACGTCCAACGTTCTTTTGCTGTAGAAGATATGGAGGTATGAAGTATTTTCAATTTTCTATTTAGTCAGCATACTCAGCCTGTCCAAGTTTTTTTTATTTCTGTTGTGAGAGGTCCTTTATTTAAATAGAGGTCCTTTATTTTTATTATCGTATATAAACTATTGTGACTTTTTAAAATTCAATCCAAAATCAAAACAAATGCAATTATTTTTCTGATAAATAATTGGAATTGGAATGTTGCAATTACCGAATAGGATAGGACAAAATCTATGTGGAATAGTTTTGGTCACAACCAAGGTAGCATTTGCAAAATCAACTTTGGCTGGTGGATTAACCTACTCCATTCATATATATATTGTTTGGTTAAACAACAATTTTAAATGGAAAAAAACATATCCTTTTCTATAAAAACTGGATTAAGTCAGGATTTATATATCTGAACGATTTTTTTGATGATAAAGGGATTTTTATTAGTGAAAAGTATGTTTTTAACAAGTTGAATGACAGAAGAAATTGGATTAAAGAATATATGATAATTAGAAGTACTATCAAAATGGCAATGAAAAATATACAGACAAATAGAGCTCAATTCACTAATATATTTTATAAATGTGATTTTATAGTAAATGGAAAATATGAAAAATTAGAAGGAAAAAGTCAAAGTTTTTCTACAATATATTAAGAAATAAACAGTTCGAGAGATCAAATTTAGAAAATGTTTAGAGTACAATGTTCAATTTTGCAAATACAAATAATTATTTCAAAATCATATACAGACAAAAAATAAAAGAAATGCCATGTAAAAAAAATTCTGATTTTAATTTAAAATTCTTCATAATTGTTTATACTAGTACCCCGGACAGGTTGTATGATGCAGTCGTTTTTTACTCTATATTTGCAATAGAACAACCATTCTTATTGAAATTTTCATATTTTATTCTGGAGACAATTTCCAACATGGAAAATAAATGTTTCACCAAAATTTCCAATTTTATGATTTTGACGGGCTTTTTTCAAAAACACTACACTGTCAATAAAATACAGGTTTTTGCTTAAACAATTGATCTTTTGACGTCATTTCAAAGATTGCCAGTCTAGCTATTGGATTTTTGACAGCCTAAAGTCTTTCCAGATGTATTTGATGCCATATTAATTATGGCTGATTATTGTTATTCATTTTAGTCATATTCAATAGGCCTTATATTATTACAGTGCATTAGGCCAATGGAAAACTTGTCATTCTGGGTCATGTTTCTCTGAAAACGCACCCTTTTCTCCACTGGGTTTTTCCGCCACCGTCACTCAGCATGCGAGCCCGTGGCACGTAAATTGTACCATGCTTTTAACATGTCAAATCTCCCTGACAATTTCATGATCAAATTTGACACAGCTGTATTTAACATCTCTGAAGGATCTAATGCCAAGCATACTTCAAATAGAAGATTCGTAATGTTTTATTTCATTTTGGACAGTATTGAACAGTGACCGGGTTGAACTTATGTCTGTGGACAAGAAGATTGACCTCCTCTATCTGGGCTCAATCTAGGGAACGCTTCACAAAACAAGACACAGAGCAACAAAGTTTTATTGGCCTAATGCACTGTAATAATATTGAATATGACTCAAGTGAATAACAATAATCAGCCATAATTATTTATATGGCAACAGATATATCTGGAAAGACTTTAGGTGGCCGGAAATTCCATAGCCACACAATATTTGAAATGACGCAAAAAGTTCAATTGTTCAAGCAAAAACCTGTATTTTATTGACAGTGTAGTGTTTTTGAAAAAAGCCCGTAAAAATCATAAAATTGGAAATTTTGATAAAAAATTGTTTTTCCATGTTTGAAATTGTCTCCAGAATAAAATATAAAAATGTCAATAAGAATGGTTGTTCTATTGCAAATATAGAGTGAAAAAATGACTGCATCATACAACCTGTCCAGGGTACTATGGATACATGATTAGTAAATGGAACAGAAATATAAGTTCAACCTACATCTTTTGTAATGAAAATCACACAGCGAAACATCTTATTTTTGATTGCCAGAAGGTTAGAAATATCTGGGAAGATGTTGGAGATATTTTGAATTTTAATGTTCAGTGGAAACACATTGTTGTTGGTTTTAACACAATAGACAGAAAAACTAGAAACAGAAATATTATTTTAACTATTGTTGCAAATTCAATTTATAAAAGATGGACAAACCTTAATGAAAAGCCAGATGTCTTGAGACAAACTAATTTTAGACAGCAAGTTTTATCAGACCTTTTATCTTACAACAGTGTATTTCTACTAAATAAATTCAATATGGATTTTGATATGTTTAAAAGAATTTGTAATATTTTATAAGAAGTAAGTTTTTGTAATATTTTATAAGAAGTAAGTTAAGTGTTTTTCTGTACTTGTATTGTATATATATTTTTAATGTATTAGTTCATATGTTATATTTTTGGGAATAAAAATTGTAATAATAAAAAAAACTACTCCATTCATATTTAAATGAGTTGGACATAAGAACGTAGATTAAACCAACAGTCGGCAGTTGAATTCGCAAATGCTACCTTAGATTTTAGTTGGGAATTTACTTCCACATGGCTTATTCTGTCTGTGAGTATTTTGATGTTGGCTTTTATATAGTTCTCAAGTAGCCTTTTCTCTTTTTTAAGTATACATACTTTCAAACCTACGTTATAGATACAAGTCCTAGCGGGCCAGTAGAACCTTTACTAGACTGGGAGACGGTATGGCATAAATTCCCATGGGGAGTCCTCATCCTGGTTGGTGGTGGATTTGCCTTAGCGGATGGAGCCAAGGTACTCTTCCTATATCCCCTCGGGTAACTTTATCGTGGTCCACAATCATATTCCAGCCTGTTTGTATTTGGAATTTCAAATGTATCGAAATAATCATTTCATCATATCCTAACTAGGGAAAAATTGAGAATAAACATAACCGGCGCAAGCCCTCTTCCCCATGTTAATTTCAAGTTACCTACCTTTTAAAGGAGGACTATTAACAGTTGATATTTTGCATTATAAAGGTATCCGGTTTATCAGCATGGATTAGTAATCTGTTAGTGGAACTAGGGTCGCTTCCACCATGGTTGATGGTAATGGTTCTATCATTTGCTGTATCAATGATGACCCAGGTCACCAGTAACACAGCAATTACGACGCTAATGCTTCCCATACTTGCAGATTTGGTACGCCTATTTTTAATTTTCCCAACTCATTTTAATTTTCCAAACTTTTTTGCATTTCGTTCATATTTTTTATAGAGCAGAGGTATTGCTTTCTACTCAGATATATTACTTCCCTCAAAACGTTTCTAGGATAACATAGCGGCAATATGACGGTTGAAACTAAGTGTGGTAATTTTTACTACACTGCAACGTTTTTCACAATAGAAAGTAATCGTTAAAACAAACCACAACCAACGAAAGAAAAAAAAACATTATTTAATGTTTCACTTGTCTTTTTAATTGTTTTCCAGGCGGCAAAAGTAGGACTTCACCCATTGTATATTATGATACCAGCCACAGTTGCTGCTTCTTGTGCCTTCATGCTACCTGTAGCAACACCGCCCAATGCAATTGTGTACGCATATGGAAAGATAACTGTCATGGATATGGTAAATATATCGTTATGATAATTATGAAAGCGAGAGTCAAAACCAGCGTTTTATTATTAAATATTTGTGGGTTTGAATTTAACTTGTTGATTAACAGGTAAAATAATCTACCCCGGATAGTTTTTAATTGTTTCTACATTTCCACCATTTATATATCTATACAAAGGATCTAAAACGATGATTCATTTTGTTTGTTAAGATTTGTGAAAATAGACCAAACAAAAAAGATTGTGGTTGTCGAGAGCGGAGTCTGCCAATTAAATTCGTTATTTTCTATACTTACAGTGGTGACATACCCTTAATTTTAATTTTTTAATAGATCATTATATTTTTATAGTTTTTACACAGGAATGGTATACTAGTATGACATTTTAAGTAAAATAAAGCTATAACATATAAGTCTATTGTATTTTAGATTAAGGCAGGGTCTATGACGACTATAATTGGAGTTCTTGTGATAACATTGTCTATATGTACATTTGGACGAGCAATATTTCAAACCGATGTTTTGCCTTGGCCGATTACTACACATATAAACACTACATATGACCAACCATGGCTGAACTCTACCGTAGACGCTCCTCTTAATAATACTACTCCAGGCATATGATGCAATCATCATAGCTAATATAAATGTATTGTCAACAAGAATTTGGGATTTTTAAAAGAACATGGAAAATTATGTGATATTGTAAAATTGTGTGATATTAGACAGTCGTGTCAACTGTCTAAAATTAGTGATATTTAAAATGGAGTGTAATCAGCATTCAATTTGATTTTCTTGAATAATTATGTCCATCTTCATTTTAAATATGTAATTTAAAACAAGTTCTGATTTGAAATTTCACACAATGGTCTATATTCTTGATAAGGTCTAAGAAAGTAAAACACTGAGAACAATATGGCTAAATGTCAAAGCATGGAAGCTATAATTAAGCGACTTTTCCATTAAAACATATTATTTTGTGATATTCTAAACTTCTACGACTCATACTCTGACTTGTGATATCATTGTGATGTTGTGATTGATTTTTATTTTAAATTTATGTAAATATCACCTCCTGAAATTAATTGAACTACGATGAATATGCTTGATAACATTTTTTTAATTGGAAAGATTGTATAACATAACCTAGTCCAAAAAGGCAGCTAGTTAAAATACTACATTTGAATGAATTAGATGATATATCGCGGGTGTCTCATTCTGGAAGAATTTTCCAAAGGATGCCATATTTTCTTTAGTAGTTCATCATAAAGCATCTCTGTGTAACCTTGTTGAATTTGTGACACGGTATTACATGGTTACTATCACATTATAAGTTAAATGATGGAAAATCTCATTGTTTATACATATGATGAATAAGTGGTGTCACGCTTAAGGATCACCAAAACATACAGGACGTTTCTTGAACGTCGTAGTATGTACTGCATTTGTTACAACCATGTTAAATAAAATATCCATTATATAATATTATTATATTTTTGTTGTTACAGTTAAAATCAGGATTTGTGATGAACGTCATGTGTGTGCTGGTCTCTACGCTTGGCATTAATGCCTGGGCTAATGTTGTGTACTCACTTGGGACGCTGCCCTGGAACTCAACGCACGCTGCTAGTGATCGGCTTATTCTAGGCACTAACAATAGCATGAACACTAATGTGAACCTAACAATAGAGCTTACAACTTTGTTATAGCTTGTATAATGCTATATTATTTATACTATAATGATTTGTAACATAATATAACTAAGCATCAATTGAAATTTTTACAAATTGCTTTCAGTGTAGTTTCATTATCTTTCTTTCTGTGTTGCTCTTTATCTTATTTAATTGCATGTAGGCACACATCTCTTGTTCCCATCGAAAGATACATTGACAACTCTTCTACACCACTTACCATGGTGACCTTTTCTAGGACATCCTTTGTCACGATACTACTTTCGTCAAACGTTTGCACGCTTGCACACTTATCAATTAAAAAACTAACAAGTCATCAGTTGGGATTACCACATTTTGGACCAGCAGAGTATTATAATATCATAATTTGTTCAAATACAAAATAAACAAAGTCATCGGCTGTATGTTTCAGTGCTCGAATACCAAACACAGTCCATTCCAGTAATTGGTAAATTATTCATAATATATACAATGCAAATATATAATCAACGTCGGTATTTGTTCTCTATTGATTCAGCACAGAGAAACAGACAGTAATGAATTTAATTCTAAACAATGACGTACATGATAAACTTTCGATGCAAATTAATTAACACTAAATATGGACAACGTATTATTTATAACACTAATAGACGGGGGGGGCAGATGACGTTGAAGTTGAAGAGGTACAGTAAAAAATCAAAGTCCCATAGTATCGGTCATTCAAAACTTTCTAGTGAGGTTAAGCTTATAATTAGATCGAAGTCCTTTTTTAAATTTAAAATCAAACACGTAATATTCTGTTGGCAAAAAAGGGTAATAACTAAATGTATATAAGATCTTCCTTTTTAGGAAAATAATGTGGTGAAATACTCTTACTGTATCTGGAGATAATTTGTAATCTGGAGGTAATTTGGTCGAACATTTGAAGAAATGAAACAGCAAAAATCGGGGGAGTTGATAAAAAACACAGTATAGTACCTGATAGTACGTAATAAACTACAAATAAAATGTCAAGAGAGTCCACAATTCAACATTCAACTCCTTTACTTTAGTATCATCCACTCGTAATTTTAATCACGTTTGTAAAAAACAATCAATATGATGCATTTTCATAGTCATAAATAAGTGACATTTTTGTTCTAAAAATTATTAGCGGAGTCTTGTGATTTCAAGTTTTGACGGTCTAAACTTTGGAAGTATTTTAAAAACTGAAATTTCTACAAACTGGAATATAAATGGACATACACATTTTTTGACTTGCGCTGCAAAAGGATTAGATGTTCATTGTAGAAAAAACACAAACCCATTCGGGAAAAAGAGTGACAAGTCTGATAGCCAAAGTTAAATAATTAGCAACACTTATGAGTCTGGATGGTTTCGACCCATTGTCGAAATTTGGCCCAAAATTTCAGAAATAAAATGTTCTTCTTTCAAACAGTACGTAGTCTGTCGGTAATGTGGAATGTTTTGGAAATGTGTTCATTTGGGCGCATAGAAAGTTCGAGGTAATGACCTTTAGCAATTTACCCTTTCTCTATTATATCAACTTTGTCATTGACACAGCTGAGCGGATCGTGAACTACTATACTGCAAGGTTAGTACATTTGTCTGATAAAAAGCTATTTACTTTATAAAAACAATTAGTTGATTGCAAACCTTGTATATTGAAATCAACTTTTCATATAACAATTAAAGTCCCCGTCGTAAGTTTGAAAATATCTTTTAACATTCATTGACTATTTGTCATGACTTAAAAAGTTATTTTAGAGATTTTGAAAAAAAATTGAAAAAAGTTGTGAGCATTTCATTTCTCAAATATTCAAATTTCCCGCCATTTTTCAAAAAAAGTTGAACTTTTTTAATCATTAAATATTTCTTAATGCATTTCAATGCAAAGATTGAAAAAAAGGACACACTATTTCAATAATAAAATGTCATATTTAATGGGCCACTTCAATGTTTGAGCATATCAAAAATATTTTTGCAACATTAGTGACTCAGGTTCCCAAAGCTTTTTGAAAATTTTTTTTTCGAAGTCAATCTTTTCTAAATATGCTATACTTCAATAATAAACCAATGTTGATTGTCTAGCCAGGTTAAAGGGAAGAATATATTATGTTTTAAATATCATTGTACCATTGGTTTCTATGAGAACTAAAATGTTGAAATGCATTTTTCTCGGAACCATTTTCATGCACTGATGAGTTCATTTCTCGCTTATTTATGAACAGATTTTCTTATTTTTCGGCAAAAAACAAACGAGGATGCATGCTATGGATTGGTATGAATTGTGGCTAAGATATGTGTGACCTCTAAAAGTTAGTTTTAAATAATTCACAACTTTTTGAACAAAAAGTCTATCAAAAACTACTTTTGAAATTAAAAAAAAAGTTTCACATATAACACTTTGATAACATTGTTTAAGACTACAATATAAGCCAAAGTGGTTTAAACTTTATATAGGGACTTTAACAAACACCCTGCTTAATTTATTATCATGGGAACCTAATTCTATATCCGTTATAAATGTATTCCCTTTTAAAAGTGAATAACGTGTCTAGTTTTGGAAATCAACCAGCCGTTTGAAAATCAAATATTTCTAATTATATCAATAGTACAGTACATACACTCCCCTCCATAAGTCACTGGGGGGGGGTATCGTGATGCAACAACACCGTGTTGTTGCATCAAGATGGCCTACCTTCCGGTGATCGATTTTCGTAAGATATTTTGTTTTCTCAATTTAAACCCATTTCTAAGACGTGTTTCTCAATAATGCATATACGTGCAGTTAGTGCACGATCTATATTTTAAATAACTGTCATTTGTATACATGTAGCATCATCGAGAAGCGATTAATTCACGGTTTTAGTTCCTCACTAATGATGCAACAACACCACACCGAAGATGCAAAAACACCCGTCTAGATTTGAGCAATGATGCAACTACCAATGTATGTCATATTGTTAAACCATAAGGTAATATGATTTAGGTCCCAAAAAGGTAAATTGAGAGCGATACACTAATCCCAGGGGTCGTAAAATTATATTGGACATTTATATTACATTGTACATCTTAAAGGGGCAATAAGGACTGTAGAGAAAATAGGAAAGTTTTTTCATTTTTTCTGAGCTATCAAGGCAACATTTGGTTTAACATCTTCTTTGACATACCTATTTTCTGAAAATGTATGGATAAATTATAAATTTCAGAATTAAAAAGTGTAAATTCAGTTCAAAGCTTCAAAAAGGGAACTTCCACTTTTATAATTTTAAGATCCTCCATGTTTCAAGAGGAATATCAGCTAAAATAATGTTTATCTAGGGAGTTTCTTTGTAGATAATAAAAATAGATGTTAGTCTTGATGAAATATCCAAACTTAAATATATTTTGACACTGGTCCATGATCGTTGAATGACCCCTCAGCACTAATTATTGCACCTTTAAAAAACGTGTCGCTTCGTTTCATACTCTTTTATACCTAGGTGAACCTTTTCTGAAGTTAATGCATCTATCAAATATACACATTTCTAAACATATGATCTGGATCAAATATACACTCCCCTCCAAGAGTTTGTCAACCTTAGCACCCCCCCCCCCCCCCATTGAACTACTACGTGTTAAAACCTCTTTATATTTGAATTTTTATTTACAAAACCTACGAGGAAAATACTTATGATATTAATGGAAATGTAAATTGACTTTTTTTCCTATGCCTCCAAATTTTTCCAATTCTTTTGCTCAATTAAAATAGGTTGAAAATTGATGATAAATCAATTGAATTTTTGAAAATGGACATTCCCATGTTAACCAATGGGAAATGATAGGTTTGCCGCAAGTCATATGACAGAATATTCATCCATCCGAGTTCTTGTAAAAAATACAAGTTAGGTAGTCCATTGAATTTGCTAACTTTATTGAATAATAAAATTGATACGTTTTTCCAGGTTTCAAAAAGTTAAAGATCTTCAAAGTCAAAATTATTATTAAAAAAACTCCTCCCATTGAAATAACATATGAGGCGAAAAGGATTTTCAAAAATGACTTTTAAGCTCTGTAACTTTAGTATTCAAAAAGTAATGAGCTGAACAATCAGCGTACAAAAAGTTAGATAATTCAATTTTCTATATAAAAAAATATGTTTTGGTGAATCCTTTACTGGATAGATATCCTGAAATCAGATTTGTCCCGAACACACCATTTCCCATTGGTTTACATAGGAATGACGATTTTCGAAAATTCATCACAATTATCAATTTTCTACCTTTATTGTAATTGAGGGGAAATTTGGGAAAATTTGGAGGCATTGGAAATGAAGTCAAGTTACATTTCAATCATGTATCTTCCTCACAGGTCAAGTGAATACAAATTCAAATATAAAGAGGCTTTAACACGTAATTCAATGAGGCAGCTAAGGTTGCCAAACTTTTGAAGGGGAGTGTGCAACACAAAAATGACTGACATCTGTTGACTTTCCATAATTATATTAGTTCTTTGTAAATAAAATCAGACCAAAATCAGAAATATTTACTTGACCAAAGCATGAAAAGTGTAAAAAAGCTAAACATAATATTTCCAATAAACATGACTTAACGGGAAATCTATTTTATTCAATAATCAATCAACGCGATGATTTATTCTACGCATTCCTGACAAATAGGGTTCGGACCATTGGGATTCGAACGAATTTGGCGACCAGCCTTTTCACGTTTAAGTTGTCTAGGTCAAAGCAGTTTCAAGATGTGGGACATCCTCCGAACACAGGCCTCCAGACTTTGGACCACATTAGTGTCTGTTGTTATGATGTCATTTAGAAAGTAATTAACTTAGTGAGTAAACTTACATGTACTACAATATCATAATATGTGATTGAATACTATTACTATGTATATCGTTTGGCTCGTATATCCTTTTAAGTTTGATAAAGACTTTGGCGTTGTTGCATCAGCACATTGGTGTTTTTGCATCATTGATAATAAACATAATGGTGTTGTTGCATCAATAGTGATGAACTAAAACCGTGAATTTATCGCTTCTGAATGATGCTACATGTATATCAACGACAGTATTTTAAAATATAGATCGTGCGCTAACTGCACGTGTATGATTATCGAGAAACTTGTCCTAGAAATGGGTTTAAATTGGGGAAACAAAATATCTTGCGAAAATCTATCACCGGAAGGCCGGCTATCTTGATGCAACAACACGGTGTTGTTGCATCACGATACCCCCAAGTGATAAGTTTGGCAACCTTTTTTCCTCATTGAACTACGTGTTAAAGCCTCTTTACCTTTGAATTTTTATTTACTTAACCTGCGATGAAAATACGTATACTATTGATGGAAACGTAATTTGACTTTAATTCCAATACCTCCAAATTTTCTCAATTTTTTTCTCAATTACAATAGGTCGAAAATTGATGATAAATTTGATGAATTTTTGAAAATCGACATTCCCATGTTAACCAATGGAAAATGATAGGTGTGCCGCAAGTCATATGACAGAATATCCATCCATCCGAGTCCTTGCAAAAAATACGAGTTAGGCAGGCAATTGAATTTGCTAACTTTATTTAAAGTGTCTCACATATTCGATCAAAATTTGCCATGCAAACATGTTAGTCTACTTTACTGACCCCCTTGCTGTAACAAGGAACCCAAAACACATTAAAACGTAAACATAAACCAATTAGTCACTCCACTACGAAAGTGGGGGGTGTTAGCAGAATACGCTGTGTGCATGGACTAACACATTATTAGTGGTCATTTACTGTGTCAACTTAGTAACCCTTGCATATCGTGCTCACTCAAGTATTGAATAATTTTTTTATGATCTAAATGTTTGTGGTTTATAAACAAAAGTGATATATTTTAGTTAGAAATACATTAATTAATATATTCATTCAAACAGCACTAGAATGCGGGAAGAAAGAGCAATGGTGACAAAATGCAGACAGAATTTTCCGTAAGGGTTTAAAACATTTCTGAACACAATCATACATGTACTTCATGTGTACTGTTATTTTTAGTGCTGTATTTATAGATATAATTTCACGTATTAAAATCATATTTTCCAACAAATGACTTCAAATTCGGAACCACACCCATATCACATTTTCTTCAATAACTCCAAACATGTGTAAACATTGACCATGTGCATATAAATTCAGATTTCACGAGCTCTTTCCTATTCGAGTACCTCATACACCCCTGCATGGATTTGAGTTGGATTCGCCTTTTATACGTGAGCCGACACACTCGCAAACGCTGATTGGATAAAGATTGCGAGAATCTTTAACCAAAAATTGATATGTTTCTTCAGGCTCAACAAAGTTATAGGGCTTAAAAGTCAAAGTTGTTTTTCAAAAAAACTCTCCCATTGAAATAACACAGGAGGCGAAAAATTATTTTTAAAAGTGACTTTGGAGCACTGTAACTTTTATATTCATCAAATAAACTAAACACTTGGTGTTTTAAAAAGTTAGACAATTCAATTTTCTATATAAAAATATTTTTTGCTGAATCTTTTACTGAAAAGATATTCTGATTTGCCCCGAACCCTCCATTTCCCATTGGATTACATGTGAATGACGATTTTCAAAAATTCATCAAATTTATCATCAATTTTTGACCTATTGTAATTCAGGAAAAAAAATGAGAAAATTTGGAGGTATTGGAAATAAGGTCAAGTTACGTTTCCATCAATATTATAAGTTATTTCATCGCCGGATAAGTAAATAAAAATTCAAAGGTAAGGAGACTTTAACACGTAGTTCAATGGAGAAAAAAGGTTGCCAAACTTATGGAGGGTAGTGTACATAGTATTTTAATATAATAAGTAATTTAACTGGTATTGATTAATTTGTATTTGAGAAAGTGAATACAACAACAATTTTAATTAACAAGTGTCCAGAGGCAGCACAATAATGCCAAAGTTAAACATATTGGGAGTATACTTATAGAACAGACTTCGATCCATAGAATAATTATACTAGAAAAAAGTATTACATATTATTCAGAAAGACCTATTCAAAGCGACAGAAGAGATCAAGTGACCAGAAAAAACCTTGCAATCGACACTTCATCTGGTATTTCGAATAAGAAGGTAACCGGGTTACCTTATTCGGAGATAAACCAGTGTTGATGAAAGCTCCCCGAAAGGTGTAGACATAGGGTACGTTCGCATAAACCTATCATGTCCTTTCGTCATTAAAATCGTAAAACTTATAAATCAAAGGGTGAAAATCATTTATAACGCCACTCCTTCTATTAAAAGTAACCGGTGACTTTGCTACTTTTAACATTTAAATTTGTACATGCTAATTAAATTTGCCTGATGTTAACGCCTCTTGACTGATCATCAGCAGTTCGGTTACAACAAATTCTGTCAACGTTTTTATTCAAAAGGGAATACGTTAAGTTTTTTATCGTACCTAACAAAAGGTACGATATTGTAGTCAGCTTGTTTGATAAAAAGTTAACAGGAAAAATCAGTTATCTAAAGTGTAATTTCGTAAAAGTATAATTACTAAAACAACAGACAAAGCATTGTTCTAAAAGTAGACGTGAAGTAAGTGAAACACATAAATCCAGGGCTGACAATATAAGTGCGCCCTAGAATTAACCAATTGGAATGCTTCCAGAATTCACCTTGAATCATGAATCAACGTTCTGTCAGCAGAACAAATAAAAAATGAACAGAAAGTAGTATTTAAATGGCTGGTCGTCCAGAAAGATATATCATTGTAACTGTAAATATCCGATCCTGGCGATTAACAGAGGTCGTTTCTTGACAAGATTGACGTTAACGTAAACAAGCAACAAAACCAAGACATGAGGGTGATTAAGTCATTATTCATGATGCTTAACGTTTACGGTAAGTGAAACTATACCCTCATTTGTTCGTAACATTGTTGGTTAGGCAGGGGTGTTATGTTTCTTTTTTTCGATATGAGTTTTGGTATATTCCTTCCAATATTGATTTAGTTTTGATGCAAACGCTTTTGTTTTAAATCTAAACAGTCAATATGGTAAAACAAAATGTCTCTTCTGCGCATGTTGAAAATGTTCACTAATAAATGTGAATTTCAGCACAGTATTCGTTTTAGGTTCATGCGCAAAGTTATTTGTTTTGATCGATTGATAATTACTTCAAAAAACGTGTAGTAATCATCACAAGCCTTAAAACCTAATTCAAAATTCCTCAACAGTTTGCTAGATTTGCTAACGTAGCCATTAGAATAAAATGCTGCTCATTGTAGACAAACTATTGATTCACTTTGACAGTAAAATGTTTACCCGCACCTTTGAAAATTAAATAAAGGTGTGGTCATGCTTGGCATTAGCCGGATTTCCCGAAAATACGTAATATAATTCATTTGACTATATTATGTGAATATTAGATGTTCAAACCCACAACACAACGACTTATCAAGCAGAATGATAAAAACACAAAACGACCCCTCGATTACCCTTTTATATCACCAAACCTTAGATATATACCTTGCCTAGATCTGATGTAAATGTTCTCGTGCATCTAAAAAGGCTGGCATGTCGAAAATGAATTATACCTGACTACATATTGACTGTATAACATGGTCCCATTTACACCGTTCCGTATTAGTGGTCTTGTTGACATTAATACGGAATAAATCTAAACATTACATGAAAAATGGTGACCTTGTCCTACTCTAATTGAGATAATGTTTCACAGCACGTTCGCACGGCGATACTGTATAGCACATGCTCTAGGGAATTGATTCTATTTTCCACTGTTGATAGAATAATGATAAAGCCTTAGGGTCAGTTTTGTTTGTAATATCTCCAAATACACGATTTCAGCATTTTAAAAACTAGATGCTAGTCCACGAGTTAATAAGGAATTGGTCGACTCAATAAGTCAATAAACGAAACGGTGCACACGTGAATGAAATGAAGCAATTAAGATAATTAGTAGACTGTTATACAATGTTAGTATGTTTTAACCTGGGGTATAAAACACAATACCTTGAATCTGGGTTTCAATATCATGGGCATTTAAGTTTCAATTACAACTTCATTCGTCATGGAGAGGATAATAGTGATAATATTTGTAGAGCTCTAATACCGCCAGGATATGAAGATCTAAAGAACGTACAAACCTCGTTCACTTTCACTGGCGATGAGGAATACACTGAACAAGCTGATGTTGTTGCTTGCTTCGAATCATCACTTCCTGACATTATAAATAAACAAAAGCATCGTTCCAACGTTCTTCATACTTTGTATTAAAGCATTACGTTTACTACTTATTGCGCAGCTAAAAATTGTGCAGCATCTGTAAAAATACTGCACTAACCAAATGTAAATAAGCTCTTATTTAGGTAGCCTGGCTAAAAAAATATTATTTTCATACCAGAAATATACGCTGGAAGTACAACGTGCGGTCGAAAGTTTTCCCTTAGGCAAGATTCGTGGGAAGTGAAAGATACTATCAAAGAGGAAGTGTCAGCTTTGGCAAAGGATATTTCTAAACTAATAACAGGTGTCTCCACACTGACAAAGATCGTTTCCACCATGAAGTCTGACATAGAAGCTAACATTGTTGGTATTAGAAGAGACATTGCTGCACAAGTTAAGACATCTACTGGTAAGTACAAGGTTCTGACAAGAACAAATGTCTAGCAAATTGAAATATATGTGTATCTCATTGAAAAAATACCTCACAATATATTTCCTTGTATCTGTGAACCTATTTTTCTCATTTTAAGGTCTCGTGATTTTGTCACTTCCTGTTTTGTCATTGCCTGTACCACGAGTGTGATGTGTATTTTCAATGGGATATGGGATATGCACGATATAATCTCACTAGGCTGGATAAATTGCGTGTGTTTTTACATTTACAGATAAAAAGAATTGCGATTCGACACCCTGCCACAATGGCGGCACTTGCACCGAACAAGGAAATGGCTATACGTGTAAATGTAAGACTGGATATACTGGAATCAATTGTGAAACAGGTTTGGGAAATGGTTAATTGTTGCACTTGGTCACATAATAAAAACATTTTACAACTGGTATAACGTGGCAACAGAGCAGATACGTTTGCTTCTGTCTCGCACATAACAATTACAATACGGATTTACCTTATTAATACATATACTTCTTAGTAGTTGCAGATTTACACGTAGACGGGTGTAGTTTTAAAAGTCCTTGTCAGAACGAGGGCACCTGTTTTGGCAGCGTTAACGGCTATACGTGTAAGTGCAAGGCTGGATATACTGGGGCGAATTGTCAGACAGGTATGACAATAAAGAGATAACAATAGAGAGTAACGCAGAACCTTGTGCGAGTCCTTCAAAGTCATCCAAATAATTGTAAGACAACGCTATGAATTTTAATGTAGTCCCACAAGGCCCCATCTAATAAGCACTGGGAATTTGAAATAACTATCCGATTACATGATCTGTGCTTTCTCGTACTATTGATTCATTAAGAAATGATTATAAACGTTTAACTTCATATTACAGAAGGATACGTTAATTGGTTTTGATTTTAACAAAACTAAACTTTCATTTGTATGTGTATCACTGGTGATCCGCTCGATTACGCTGGTTACCGAAACGAACCGTTTCGGTAATAAAATGTCGGAACGTCGAAGGTACGAATTTTCTTTTTTGATTATTTTGCTCGTTGTAGGCAGAATCCATCCCTACGTCATTTTTTCTCACAAACGTGTATCAGTATCATGTTTTATAAAAGGTACATATTTGCGAAAATAGCTCAGAAGACAACAGAATCGCCGAATTAATTCCTCCCTTAAGTTACATAAACGGTAGGGGTTAAAAGTGCAGATCTTAACTGTTTTTCGAAATGCCGTTTCGGTAACTTAAGTGAGGGATTAAATCGACGATTCCGTTGTCATCTGAACTATTTGATCGCAAATGTGTACATTTTCTTTATCATATGATACTGATACACGTTGTGATAGAAATGCTGTCAGTGGGAATTCTGCGTACAACGTGTGAAATAAGGAAAAAAGAAAAATCGTGCCTTCGACGTTCCGACATTTTGTTACCGAAACGGTTCCAGCGTAATCGAGTGGATCACCAATGTGTATGTAATTACAGGTAAAGCTGGAAAACTGAAAAACAAACCAATTGTTGCAAAGCGAATGAAGAGACACCAAATAAAGGATATTGCGGTAACGTCAAGCGGAAATATTGCGCTAACAGGAGGGCCCCTTACTACAAACATATATGATAAAAACTATAATGCGATCAAAGTTATCGACAAGGTATTCGGTTATGTAGCAATAACTACTAACGACCAACTATTATTTACTGACTCTACTAAGACGATTTACGTCTATACAGCAGAGGGCATCCCTATACGTAATATAACCGTTAAAGGGTCGGCCTCAGTAACTCGGCTACGTGATATTACTACTCTGTCTACTGGTCAATTGGCTGTAATAGATGCTACTACAGAAAGAGTGTATGGCGTTGATCCCTCTAACGGGGATCTCTCTCCTATCACGATGCCTTACTCGATGAATCGTCCTATTTATTTGACATCTAATAGTAAAGATGTCATCCTAGTCACTGACTATTATGGAGATAATATAAAAGGTTTTGATAAACTTGGAAATGTTGTGTTAACATATGGAACAAGGGGGTCGGGTGCGGGACAGTTGATGAGACCACGTGGTGTGTGCGTAGATAGCAACGATTATATCTTGGTCGCAGACAACAGCAATGGCAGGATACAACTTCTTACCCCTGAAGGTAAATTCCATAGCTACCTTCTTGCAATGAATATTAGTGATTTAAATCCATTTGCCGTACATATCAACCAAGTAGGGGATTTGCTGGTCGGAGATGCATGGGGACATCTGTTCGCTATCACATACAGGGAATAAACTTCGTCGAAAGATCATTCCCCGCTGAAGAACATTGCACCAATCCTGTTTGTCTAAATTCATATGCGTAACTAGAATAATTCAAATTGATGGACAATGACAATGACTATAATGCAATTTAAACTAATATTTGTTATAGTAAAGACAATATACTGATTTTTGTGAAATTTCCAATATTCCAGATATTTGACCAAAAGTGTTAACAACATTTGGGGAGAGTATATTTCAATTAATCATATTAAGCATACGTACTTCATTGCTTACTAAGTCCGATTTGTTTTACACAAACGTACGCAACATATGACTTCTCCTCTAACCCTACTATCACACCAAACTAGTTCTCACTACGTTCTCTAAAACGGGCTTCAACTGTGTACGAACGGACTGGACCTACTAAGAACCGTTTGGGATCTATTTACAAACGTCATCGAACGTACTCGAACGGGTAGGTCTTCTAGAACTTAGACAATGCTCAAAATGTTCTCGTGGTCGTCACGTTCTACAATTAGAACGAGTGACAACGTACTAACGACGAGCTGGACGTACTACTAACGGAACCGTCGTACTTCAATCCTACTAGGGACGTTTTAACAACGAGTTGAACTGTCTGAGGACTTGTTGAGAACGAGGTAGAACTAATTGCAAACGGGTTTAAACTGATTAAGAACGTATTTAACACTGCTTATGAACGAGTTAGCAAAAATATAGCTATCACACCAAACAAGTTGCCACTGCGTTCTTCAAAACTGGTTTTAAACTGTGTGCGAACGGAATGAACGTAGCTGCAACTTTCCAAGGTCTATTTACGAACTTCATGAACGTTCTCCGACGGGAATGTGATTTTAGAATTTTGAATCGATTCAAAATTCGATGGCGACCATACCGTTCTGTAATCAGGTCATGTTGACCTTCTAGACTAAGGTACGCGTTCTACTACGTTGCACACCGACGTGGTGCGACCTAAACGAACTGCGAACGAGATGGACGTATTGAAGACTGTTTAAGAACGAAGAAGCTAATTATTTCAGACATATTTCCCGACCACAGCCAGATTGAGCCCGTTTTACGACGTTTTCGTAGGACTGGCAAGAACGGGTAAGAACTAGTTTGGTGTGATAGGGGGGTAATGACATATAAATTGTTGCCTTTATGTCTCATAATATGATCAGTTGGTTTCGTCGTGTTGACTTAATTGTAATATTTTTTTATGACGAATTCCTTTTCGACTTCACCTTGCTATCATAAATCACAATATATCCGGGGATATATGATCGGGTCATCTTTACTCAATGACATTATAAACTGTTGATTGTTGGAGATTGAACGTCTTACGATCTTACTTAAGATGTTATCCTGATTCCACATACTATATGAATCGTCCCTAATCCGAGTGGTTAATTTGCCGAATGGTCAAATTTTATCATTTTCCTAATTTAAATAACTTTAATGACAAAACTACCAATTAGATACATCAACGAAGATAATATTTCCGACATTTAATCCGAACCTGGCAAAACTTAGACAATAGTTAAATTAAATGATTAGGCAAAATTACCACTGACTGTATCCAATTCTACATACATGAACAATGTGTAGTATACATGCATTTTCTATTTGTATATTTGAACAATGTGTAGTATACGTGCATTTTGTATTTGTTGTAATTCATGTTTAGGTGTTATACATTTTTTGTTTTTGTAGAATATGTGCAGCCAAAAGCCGAATCGGTTCTCTATCATTTTTCTACATAATCGCAGTACAGTGAAGAATGGTATAGAAAAGTATTTGTTAGATTTCGTATATTTTTTTTATCCTATATATGTAATTGCTGGTGCAAATGTCATGTTGGTCTTGTTTGATATGTAAACACATAATGAATAGCAAAATCACCAATAGTATAGTTATAATCAGAATTCAAAATTATATATTTGAGGGTACCTATTAGAGATGTCAAGACAATGTCTATACAGAATGGGATGGGAGAATATATCACTCAAAACCGCTTAAGTGTAAAATTAATGCCCATTTTTAACACTTATTTGTTTTCACTGATATGTGTTCTGTTCGGTGATGACATTTCGATAATGGACAAATGTGTCTACAGTATGCCACAAGAAGTTGTCTCTATTTATTTCATTGATTTGGGGAATGACTAGAGAATTTTTTCAAGTATAAGGGAGTTTAAGCTTGCATATAAAATCGAAACGCCAACCTATATGTATGACCAATCGTCCATACAGATACATCGCTTAAATATATTCCGTCCACGTTTAGGTTGTGAAAAGCATTGCAAGCTTAACCTCCCTTATATGTCGGAATGTACATGGATACGCATTCTTTTAAGTGTGACATAAAGGCATGGGCAAATGTGTTAACAGTCGGCTGAAGGTAAGTGTTTCTAAACGTGCACAATGCGTTGTCCATGTGGCAAATAATCAACAGAATAACACAATACAATTTCCTCGGGGCCTTAAACTTTTTGCCAATAAAGTCAAAATATGTTGTCAAGTTAAGAAGGGATGGGGAGTTTTACAAGGTGAATGAAAACGTTTCATCAAACGCATATTCAAACGTATGGTCAGATACTGACAGTCTGATACCAGTTTGTATCATGTCTGCTTATAAAATCACTCGGTACCTATTTTATCAGGATGGCGTTTGGCTTTTATGATCGAAAAATAAAAGTATGCTTTGCTTTCTTCGTAAGTATTGAAACATAGAATTTTTCCTGAACAAAATATTGATTGATTTATTGAAAATAATGAAAATGAGAACAAACTTGGATATGATCGTATGAAACCTCACTTGTCATAGGATGAATTAGTTATCCCTGATACACCTTAGAAGGCAACAAGGCAATATAAATCGGGATATCTTTGTAAAAATCGAGAGAAGTCGTGATTTTTGAAGAAAAATCGCAATATCTAGAGAAAATCGGGATTCATATGAAAAATTGGGATTTCTAGAAAAAAAATCAGGAGAAAAAAACGGTATTTACATGGGTAATTTGATAAATACGTTTTCTGATTGCATTTTGGGCCTTTAACTATCTTTGTTTAATTGGCATATCATCTGCATTAAACCAAGTAACACATCGTAATTGATTAATGTGAATACACCATCACAACTTGGCATTATGAAGTCAAAGAACAAAAATGTATCTATGCATCCAGTGCGTTGTATAGTATATCTCAGTCCGAGAACGATAGATTAAATAAAATTCTGGTTTCAAATAGTTAAAAGAAGATTAAATAAGCAAACGGTATGTTGGATGTGTAGTTAGTTATTTTGTTTTATCACAAAAAGCTTTTGCATATTTGTTTTCACCACGTTCCAACTTTCATTGTAATGTCTTTTATATGCGTTTCGATTGTTCAGAATTTCTTAGTACCAGAACGTTCGATTTATTTCTGGTCTAAAATATTGTAGTTAAAAGAAGATGAAAGAGCTTAACACAGTCAATATGGTACAACGAAAATGGGACTTCTGCGCATGTTAAAAATTTTCGTCAAAACTCAACTTTTGTTCAAGTTGATACGATTGTCTTTCGAACTAGAGACTTACCTCATTCGAAAGATCATAAAAGACTTTGTCTATACTGAAAATCTTAGATCCAAACATAGTAGAATTCGCCGTCAGTCCGCATTTGATTTTTTGAAGTGACTTTCGTAGATCGTCAGATTTCTCCGACTGATATCGGGTTATCTCAAATTGGTTCGTTTATAAATACGAATTTTTTTACCGTTGTAAGGCGCATGCGCAAAATTGATTTATAAACGTTATTGGTTGATGGTTTTTCTCCTGAGCATGCGTGAAGTCTGATGAACACTTATGACGAAGACCGGAGCAAACATTACTAGCTCTCGAACGAAATTCCAAGATTCAGATCATTTCGCCGTGTTTGCTAAGCGTGTATACGTGAATGACAAGCTGTTTTGAGTAGATCAGGTACCTGTTTTAGACACATCATTGATTTAGCTTGACATTGATGTGCACATTGGCACTTTTGAGCATTTTAATACAAGTTTTTACACTCTTAGCACGAGACGGGTTTTCGAAAAATCTGTTATCTGATTCACTCGATTATCGTATGGATATGTATTTCTGCTGACATTTCAACACCACATCACATAGAATTACGATGCAGAATGATAACAAAACACAAAACAACTACTAAATTCCACTTGTTATTTCACAGGAGGTAAAAATGCAAACTCCCAAGATTCTTTGTAAGGGTCGTCAGACATCGGATTGGCCGCCATATTTGAAATGAAAATATCACTAAATAGAGGTCTGCGCATGTCTCAACATTTCGACTGAACAAGTGTATTTTGTATGTAAAGATAGCTACTGTATTTTGTTTTATCACAAAACGCATCGTATACTTTCCTTTTTTGCGAGGTTTTGTACGAAAATCGGGAGGGTATCATTTAAAAATCGAAATTATACTGAAAATCGTGGTGTCTCGTTAACAAACCCGGAGTTTTGAACATTAAATGGGGATATTTTATGAAAAATGGGAAATTTTCTCAAAATCAGGATATTAGAATCGGGTTTTTGAAAATCGGGATTTTGAAAAAAAATCGAAAAGAGCAATACAAATCTGAATTTCTCTTGATTTAAATCGGGATTTGACAGGTAAGCCATAATAATGATAAATGTTTTTAAGGTTGTCATTTTTCTGATGCAACATAAATATATCTTTTAAAGCAAATATATGGTCCTCAGCAATTATGTTATCAACTTCAAAAAAGCAGTATTTACAGAACCATAACTGTAAGTGCCTTTCATATAAAAGAGGCATTCAATTAATTATTGTGAAAAAGTATTATCTAAAGTTCATTCCAAACGACATTTTTTTAATGATAAGTTCCATTGCCGTGTGTTTGTCATGTTTCACTCTGGTATAATGATACAGCTGGGCGAATTAAGTACTTAGTACAATGCTCCTCTCCGCACTTTATGATACATTATTCTATAGCCTATTCTATTCTATCACA